TCTATTGATCACATGCCCATGGAACACACTAAAAAAGCACAAGGCGAACATATGAATCTGAGTTTATTTGTGTCTTCCAGCTTCGATGCTTTTACCAGCCGCAGCAGCCATTAAAGCCGCCGCGACCACCTTGTCCACAACCGGCACATCCGCAACACGATGGAGTTCCGCCCTGGTAGCCGCAACCATGCCATCCGGGTCCGACGTCATAGGCATAGTTGTCGAGTCCGCAACCACCGCAACCACGACCCCTAAAAGATGGGCGAAAACAGGAATTGGAGTTAACCTTCACTGCAGACCTTAAATCTGTTAGGACATGTTAAATAGGAAACCTTTCCTATCAGTATGCCTTATGGAAGCTGCTACGACGTCTCTCTTAATGCAGTTGTGATAACTGGAAGAAAATAACGTTCCAGCGTTAGTTTGCCTCAGTCCGAAGAGAAAACCTCAACTTGTGGTAAATGGAAGATGGATGTGGAGTTTGTGATAAAACAGCAAAATTTCGAAGCAATGAACTATTCCACAAGACGACTACAATCCATTAAGTCCGCTATTTTTTTACTGAGGCACCATACTAAGTCACTTGTATTTGAGAGACATAAATTTTGCTTTCCGCAGTGATTACCGCTAGGCACACATCATAAATCAGTATGTGTTCGCGATTGTTTTCATGTCTGCGAAATTCGCCAAATCATCGAAGAACCCCTCAAACGCGTTTATTTTTTAGGCGAAAGTAGCTTATGTAGTCCCACTCATATACCCCTACTGCCAGAATTTTGTCCTACGAAAACGGCGGTTATAGGGTTTCGGGAGGTGAGGAAATAGGATAGGCAATGAAGGAAATTTTTAGAAGTAAGTGTAAAATGAAAAAAATGTAGTCAAAGTTGTTTCCCGCGGCCGCTGGCAGTAAGTTGTTCCGCATGTAACTTTAAGGTGCGCGCGGCATTTCGCACCGCGGGCTATACTAATCTCACTCCAGAACGGTAAGTTGGACCTCAGGTAAGTTGAAGTAGACGACCGCTAAACCACCATTTCTATTTTTCGGGAATTTCAAGAAATATGCAATTTGATTATCGGTTTTTTCCGTAATACGTTAAAAGATAATACAGATAAGGAAAATCTACAGATATAAATCAACAACACTTCCAAATACAATAAAATAAAAATGCTTATAGCAGTTCTTAAAGTATATTTCATTGCGTATCCTAATCCCCCCACCCATGAAATCCTATAAACACCATGCTGTAAGTAGGGATTAATGAGTGGGACTACATAAGTTACTTTTGCCATTTTTAAATTAATTTATAATTCTTCATCTCCAAAATCACGCTTAGGCTTTTCTCATTTGATATCGTCAATTAGCATACGTATTTATGTTCATCTACAAACGTTCTGAAAACCGAAAGACACCTTTTATTTGAATATAAAAGATGAAGATGCGATTTACTAGAAAATGAGCATGAGATGGGATACTTTGCAAAGTTTTTTGCTCAACAATATTTTATTTATAAAGTCATCAACAACCAACATGCGACTTTGTTACTATTTGCGTAACCATTTGCTGCCAAATTTGAAATTTGTGGGGGTCCGAATAGAAAAGCTTCTTAAAGCAGGTGTACTGGCGTGGTTACAGTACGTTTCTATTATGCTGCACGATAATGAAGATTATAACCCCGTTTAAAGAAATTAAAAATTATCCAAAACAAATTTGGAAATTTTTTTTGCCAGTTCAAACATTGACTGTAAATTGAATTGACTAAAATAATGTTCGCCATTGGTCCGAATCGGCAAAAGGTAATCTCTTTTTAGTAAGATGGAGAAAACTATACAAAAGACACTTACCACTTTCCACCGCAACAAGTAGTGTCGCAACAGCAACCGCAACCACTACCGCAGCCGCCACCACTGTAACCGCAACCGCAACCACCGCAACCACAACCGCCACCACCACACATTGTTCGTTAGTTGAGGTGGAATGTTAGGAGACCGAGGCTTTAAATAGGCGGCGGGTAAGTACGCATACGATGCTGGATTGTCCCGCTCGGGTGACCAAGTCTACGCAGCTGAACTTGAGAGTAAGGTTATTCCGTCTCTGTAGTATGCGCAGACCCCCTACGCATACAGCACGGCATCGAATTAAAGTCTGCAGTGAATGAACGCGGTAGTTGATGTCCGGACTGGAAATTAACCCAGCCCCCCTGGGAATTGTAGGGCGAGGCCGCAAGCGCGGTTGGAAATTGAACATCCTACATCTCTATGGCGCGGCTTTCGAATTTGAGCCACTTTTTGCTCTCCATTCACGTGGGAATTTATTATCCTATACCATCCTCTCTAATTCTCTGCTTTGCTTGTCTGCATTTGTAATCATGAGGTCTATCAAAAGTACACTGCTACAAGTTATTTTATCTACAACATATCACAATCCCAATATTTGTCAAATGCGG